ATACGGCCTTTAGTGAATTATTCGCGTCTTTCCGTTCATTGAATGTAGGTGCATTATAAAAGAATCGAATAAAGGTGATTTATTATTATTATCTAATGCAATGATACACTTACCCGGTAAACTGTAGAGAACGCAGAAAAAATGTTGAAATCTGTTTAAAAACATACCAGTAAAAAGTAAAATAGGAAATATTAAAAAAGAAAGCTTTTAGCTGAAGCTGCAAGTTATGTCAATCTAGAATAGACGTACTGAAATGTTGGATGACATACAGGAAAAAACTACAACCTACACTAGCTTATCCATTATCAAATACAAGGAAGTGCATTAAGATTACGTACCCGGTAAACTGTAGAAAAGGCAAAATAAAGAATGCAGCGTGGTCATAGACATACTAGGGGAAAGTGAAACCGCTTACTGGTAAAATGTACAATATGTAGGCATAGTTTATTATAATAATTTTTTCACGTTTTCTGATGTTAGTTTTCAGTTCATTAACACTTGTTCGCTGAACCAGCTGCGGTGGATTATTACCTACCGATTCGAATTTATTCAAATAAATATATTTTTTATTAATTCGTTGAGGCTATTACATTCGAAGAAATGATGAAATACTTCGTTGGGTGGTGGGCATGTCATTGAAAAACTATGGTGCTATAAAACGGACGGCAGGGAAATATGTGTCTCATTTCTCTCTCAAGTTTTTTGATTGCCGGTCTGCTGGACAGTGCGTTAACTTAGGATACCCTAGAGTTGGAAGAACATGCTTCATCGAATATGAGCTTCTGAAGCAAGATATCTCGTGAACAAGCTTCCATATTTTTACTTCCCACGTCCACTGGCGGTGAAGTATTGTAATCGCGAAAATTTTCGAAAACGAGATATTATATTTTTTGGATGTTATATGACATCAAGATCACCAAAAACTATGTCACTCATTTCTGACGGTCTCTCTGCCTGTCGCTCTGTCCCCTAATCATATAACCGCCTATAACTTAAGAAGCACCTCTCGGATTGTGTAGAAATTTTTACACAGTGTTACTACTATAGCACCTCTCGGATTATATAGAAATTTTTACACAGTGTTACTACTATGGCACGTAGGTAAAAGCTATACAGTTTTTGACATTCGGTCCATTTTTGGCGGAGCTACGGGCAAAAGACGGAAAAATAAATACCGCTCAAACTTTCAGAAGCTCCTTCCTGATCATTAACAGAACTTTTTTATATGGATTAAAAATATATAATTGTTTTTGGTAGCAGTATATTTATACACTTTGAACCCCATTGATTTTACGCACCTATCAATATATATTTTACATACTCCCCTTAAAACTTGGAGAAATATTTATAGAAGGGCCACGCCGCGACGCAACCTTCATACGCTGAACACCGTTTGCGTGTCTGCTTCTGATTGACTCTGACTGTATCGCCGGTTATCCTGACTCAGATACTAGTTACTATTTACACTAGTATGGTTCAGCACCGTTGCCAGGTGGTCGATACTTAGAACAGGGAATAAACTAGCGTTCTTTTCATCTTAATGTTTTATTGAAACGTAGAAATTATGTATGAGAAATAATATCAGACAAATGTCCGCCTCTAGAAGCCGCGCAAACCTGAGCCCTCTTGATGACATTTTCCATCAATTTTTGGTAGGTTTTGGCAGAAATATTTTCAATCGCTTTTGTACTATTGTGCATCTGCTCTACAGTACTTGGTTTGTTGGCATAGACAATATTTTTCGAAAATCCCCATAAAAAAGTCAGGAGACGTTAAATCCGATGACCTAGGTGGCCAGTTGACATCACCAAATTGAGAAATTAAAAGTCGCGGAAATATTGTTCGCAAAAGATTAATTGTTTTTCTAGCTGCGTGAGAAGTTGCTTCGTCCTGCTGGAACCACATGCTTTGCAGGTTAACTTGTTGGATTTGAGGAGCCAAAAATTTTTGCACGGTAGCGCTCACCAGTGACAGTAAGAGAATTACCTGCAGCGTCTTCAAAGAAATAAGGTCCAATTACACCTCCATACCAAACACCGCACCAAGCTGTGACTCGTCGAGGATGTAGTGGTCGTTGATGGATGACCCGGCGGTTGTCTAATGCCCAGTTACGACAATTCTGCTTATTAACAAATCCGTGGGATTCATCGATCATTATCAGTTGTCAGTAAAAATCGTTATTTTGGGTATTAAGCTGCAATATTGCATGACTGTATTGTCGGCGAATTTCATGGTCTGTAGTTCTTGGGTTAACTGAATTTTGTATGGCCTTTCACGAACTCTCTCGATATTTTCCGTAGTACGAACCGTTTGAACACGGCCCGACCTTGATATATTGGCCACTTTGTACATGTTTGTAGCTAGTTCAGATGGAATAATTTGTAACGAACATAATCGTTTATGAACTGATGACAACGTTGCTCGGGAAATGCAGAGACAACCTACTTAACGCCATTTTTTACTTATCTATCGCGTCGGATCACTAAAACTTACAAATTTGTGTCAACATGTTGTTGGTGTAATTTTTACCTCAATTAATACAGCTTTCGGCATTTGTTCTTGCTCAAAAGTATTTTTTTGGTGTGGTTAATGTACTCAGTGACAAAGAAAACAGAACACACAGTAAAATTATCTTATTTGAGTCAAACTTTGTATGAAGTTAGATATAAGTAAGACGAAGTAGTGAGTTGTGAGTTGTCTATGGCTCGATTTCCTCAATAATGTGCTGGGTTACCCTAATGTCGTATGCATTCGTTCAGTCGTCAGGACATGCTTCTGATGAATTGATTTAACATATGTCTTATTGAGGTATCTCGTCCCAAGCTAGCCGAATTGGGTTCGGTAGGGATATTAAGATTCTATTTAATGCAAAAAACCGACAAAAAGTCAACTTGTTAGCTAGCAGCAGCTAGTGTGTGAATAGTTAATTCCTCTCTTGTTCGCAGTAGGTGCTAAGAGTGTCACCCATAGCGTCACCTATGGAATAATGACTCAACGGCCTGCTCAAGGACCATGCAGCAGGCCAGTTCGCTAGCATGTTTTGTTGGTTGCAGAATGTCGAGTCTGTAGATGTACGGTATATCTCTGAGGAGATGTGACAGAAGGAAAATTGGTCGAGTAGCAGAGTAGCAAGAATGCATCTGAATGATTGTGTGTATTGGTCTGCATGTGTCAGAAATCAGTAATAATTGCTACGTGAGAAAAGTATTACTGAACATGCTGTCCAAGGAGTATATCTATTGGGTGTGCCAGACGGGTTATTTATGTGTTGTCCTTCCTGAAGGGAGGTTATGTTTAAAGTTATATCTAAGGATTTACTTTGAAAAATAAATATATTCAAAGCCACAGTAAATGTAAAATGTAATAATCTCTTTACGTTTTACGCCTGAAACCAATTGTTTCACCTGTTAGTTGTAAGATACTTCACCAACCAGGGATTTTCTTTTTTATCTGTCTCATTTTTAAAATTCTCAAATTTGCACATGTAATTTGCAGGATGGAGGATTTGATAAGAAAAAGTGGCCAACTAATTTCTAGCATTGCATGCATCTCAAGTAAGTGGATTTGAGTCAAGTAATCAAGGCAATTATCATCGACACAGATTATTAGCACACAAATCCTCACTAAGCACCTATGCATTGCCGACTTGTCCGTTTCCTTTCAGCTATAGTATACAACTTCCAAAAGTCGTGTGTGAAACAGCTGTGACATCACATCAGAGCCAATAGGATATATCTCAAGCCAGGGGCGGCTGGCCCTAAGTTCCGCAGAGCTGCAGAACTGCCAAAACTGTTGTCTTAACAGAAAAAAGCAGTAGTAATTTGATCATTATGTATTTTCCAAGTTATCACACAAATAGAAACAGTACCGGCAGCGCTGCCCCTGCGTCGAGTCTGTTTTGTATTGAGAAAGCAGATAATCCAATTGTGTACCAATTGTGTACTTGTCATTTTCGTCGCGACCGCAGCGTAACATTATTCATCGGCCACTTGAAAAGGGTCTGTGCACTACTTCGACACAAGCCGCACGCGCTTGCTTTTGTCTCTCTCTACAAAATCAAATGCGCCATTGAAGCATAAGCATGTGCTGCACGTTATACAGATCCGTACAGATCCAATGCGAAGTACGATATCTGATTGGTCGGTCGGTGCTCAGTATAAAATTTTGCGGAGCATTTGAATTGGCGCTACGGCGCCATGACGAAACCGAAAGCTCCTAAAACCCGGAAATATTTCGTGGACTGATTAATTTTTCTGCTGAGCTTGATACAATCTCAAGCGAACACATGAAAAATGCTTCAATATTTAAAGGAACTTCGAAAGAAAAACAAAACGATCTACTGGATTGTATTCTTGAAGTTTGGCTGAAATAATAAAACAGATTAACAGAGCCTCGTATTTGGCGATAATAGCAGATGGAACAACGCACATTTAGGGGAAACGTAGTAGAACGTTTTTGGAATTATACGAATCCCGAAAAATGTGACGCTGATACTCTCACAAGACATATTTTGAGCGTCGTAGATCCATTGATAGGAAATTTCTCTAACAAACTGATTTTACAAAGCTATGATAGAGCCGCGGTAATGAGCGGACATAATGCTGGAGTACAGGCAAAACTTAAACAAATATATCCATTTACTCACTATGTGCATTGCTATGCGCATCAGTTAAACCTGATTATGTCCCAAGCTGCTTCCGCAAATGCTCAAGTTCGGGTGTTTTTTGGGGATTTGATAGATATTCCGGGATTTTTTAATAATTCTCCTCAACGCGTAGAGGTGCTGAACAGAATTCTGGGGGAAAAATTCAACAACTCGATGAAATTTTAATATTCAAACAATAAATGTAGTGTTTGAGAACAGAGAAACACTCACTGAATGCATGGACGAAATAGAAGAAAATTTCACTAATGAAACCGCTTGCAAGGCAGCTTGCGGTATTCGCCGTATGTTAAACGATTCTGTTTTCGTGTTTTGCTTGACATTTTTTCATCATGTCATGCCTCACGTCGACATCTTGTTCAACCAGTTGCAGAAGAGAAAAACCGAGCCAGCGCAAGTTAAAACGGCTATCGATAATTTTGAAAAATGTTTTGTCGATGTGAGAAATAAAATTGATGACATAATAAATGAAGCAAAAGTATTTGCACTGAACCCCAAGGCAACAAAAGGAGACGACGTAATAATAGCAGTCACGATCACCGAGTTGCCGCATTAGAAGTATGCGACAATATAGTGAATTCTGCAAATGACAGATTTCAATTCAAAGATCATTTGGTAGCCGCATCCCTTTTTTCCCCGAACACTTTGGAGAAGACTGTGGTAAGTTTCCTAATGACAATTTGGAAGCTACCTGCTTGGCTTATCCCGAATTAGAAAAAAGTCGTTTGAAGACAGAGTTATCTGTTATTTATGCACGGAATGATTGCCGAGATTTACATGAAACTCTGTCTCTTTTGAAATTTTTGATACAAAATAGTTTGGAGGAAACACTAAAAGAAACAAAAAAGCTATTAGAAATTATTGTTACAACTCCTATGTAAACATCACAGGCTGAGCGAAATTTCTCAACATTGAAAAGAATCAAGACGTTTCTTCGTAATACCATGACCCAGGATCGCCTTACAACGTTGTCGATGCTGTCTATTGAAAAGGAATTTATTTCGACCATGGAAAATTTCAACGGGAAGGTGGTCGACAAATTTGCTGAAAAGAAGAAGCGCAGGATCGAACTGACGTATAAAAAATAGGTAAGCTCGGATTTGCAGAACACCTGTTTTATTTTGCCACGACCCGCCACTGTCACAAGCATCATTACGTTTATGCTACACGTACAGCCAGCTAGTTCTAAGTTGATACCTTATAGGAACTATATGTAAAAAAATGCCACAATGTCACCTTTCAAGATACGTTAGACACCTGCCGAAAAGCTGTTAGTGCTTGTGGTACATATAGTAGGTCACCTCCCATCGTATCCCACACATCATGTTCAGTGGGCGAAAAGTCTCGAGATCTAGGAGGCCTGAGAAGGACTTAAGCGGATTGAGGTGATTGTAGGACTGGCAATATGGGGCGGGTATTATCTTGTTAGAAAATAGCATTTTTGAAGAAATGGCAAAAACGGCGTTCCTGGACATATCGTTGAGCCGTCACACCCTTCACTTTAAAATTTAATCAAGACCTTTACTTGCTTATGTCTGAATGTTCTATTTTATTCGTAACTGAGTATATTGAAATAGAAATAAGATATGATCATGACCATTTCGTGATGAACTCAAGAAAAGTACAATGATTAAATATTTAAGAATCTGCCACTTCCGATTTCGTTTTCTTCCTAAATTGGCTCAGTTATTGCAATGCAATATTGCATTGGGGGCAAACATGTTTCTTGGCAAGCTGAACCGTGTTTTATTTTGCTTCACGATTGTTCGTCTTCGCCAAAGCCCAATTATCTTGTAGAGCTTACGTTTGACACCACTCAAGTGATCTTCTAATGGTTTCTGCGATTCTCGCCGTGATTCATCCGCCCAATTTTAAAATTTTGATAACCGTATGTATTCGGTTCGAGAAAATAACATTATTTCAGCACAACTGGAGTACGAATATAGGCAGCCTATTATACTGAAATTGTCAGCATCAAAAATTGTTGCTTTTAACTACGGTGCCTCCTGTAGAAGGTATTGAAGCACCTCGATGATTGGCTAGACTACTCCTTACCTATCTATTGTAAAACTTCCTCTTTTATTAGGTTAAAAGCTAAAATACAAGTACAGGTTTTTTGCGCAATAGCATGCCGGAAAACGAGTGATTAGTTAAATCAGAGGTATACAGTGTTCTGAGGGGTGGCCTCGGCTCTTTCTGGAATATACAAATCCTCGTTGTGACTATGCAGGTCCTTCTTAATTCAAGACCTGCATACAGGAAATGGAAAGCAGTTTTCTGAGCAAACTGAAAATTATATCAAAAATCTGTTTTGGTGGCAACTTTTGTAGGTTACTAGTGCATATTTAAAAATTATTTCAATATATACATGGTGTTCCATAACTTCGTGCCATAGCAACCATGCATTTTTTAAATAAAATATATTTTTATTGCATATTTGGATAGACATTCTAGAAACAAGAAGTCTGATATGGTATAATATATTGTTTTGATTGTTAATTGCTTAGATACGAAGGGTTACCCTAAAAAATAGAATTATTTTTTGAAAGCGATTCATTTTCAACTCTATCACCAATTAACCTCATCTCCTTCAAGATTCTGTCTACTACAACTAATACACTTGTCCCACCGGTGCTTCCACTGCTCGAAACACTTGTTGAAGTCTTCCTTAGAAATTTCTGACAGCTCCTCCCTAGTTTCTTTTCTTGACCTCTTCAATGTCGTCAAAGCGGCGTTCTTTCATGCCCCTTTTCATCCGTTGAAATAAGAAAAAGTTACATGGGGCTAGGTTGGGCGAATAAGGTGCGTGACGCGGAACGAAGCCATTTTTAACCAGAAACAGTGATGGCTGTGTGCGCAGGTGCATTATCGTGGTGGAAATCTGAAAGTCTGAAACCTTTTTTGCCAACCACTGTTTCGCAATTGTCTTAAAACCTCCAAAGAAAAGGTCTGATTGTCAGTGTGACCTGGGGGAACAAACTCGGAATGGACTACACCTTTGAGATTGAAAGAAAACAAATCAGCATTGTTTTGATGTTTGATTTGACTTGACGACATTTTTTGGACGAGGTGACGATGGTGTCTTCCATTGACTTAATTGTTGCTTCACTTCTGGGTTATAACCGTAGCACCATGTCTTATCACCAGTGATGATATTTAACAGAAAATTTGGATCAGATTCAAGCTGTTGTTTCAAAGCACGACCTGTTTCAACTCGATGTTTTTTTTTATTGACAGTCACAGCCCGAGGAGCAAACTTGGCAGCAACCCTTTTCATTCCCAAATCTTCTGTTTCGTCGTCGATTCGGGCGGTTGATGGACGTCTAGAGCGAGGTTTGTCATAAATCTACATGTCGCCATTTTTATATTGAGCAAGCCACTCGTAGACCTGAGTTTTTTTCCATAGCATCATCTCTGTAAGCTATTTTCAATATTAAAACAGTTTCAGCAGCATTTTCACCAATTAGAAAGCAACATTTCACAGCTGCACGTTGCTCACTGAAGCTTGCCATCATAAAAAACGAAACTAGCACGAAACAGATCTAGCAAAAATAATGGCTACAGAGGAACCAAACAAGCCAGATTGACAACTAAGGTGGCACTGAACTGGTAATGAGTTGCGCTCAACGCCTCCAGGGGAGAAATGTATACTTCACAAGCTCCGCTCTACTGCAGTGCTGTAGTTAAGTTGTTCGAATATAACCTTGGTGCAAAGCACACAAAAGGGTCTGTCTCCGCCTGAACGACTCGCTTATACGATGTTTCATGTCAAGTATTGTCACTTCTGGTAAACCTTTGCTTTTACATGACCCTAGAGAAAACAGTTAAGAGGCGCCAGATTGGGAGATTTCGCTGGCCAAATAATTGGCCGGTCCGCGCCTCCATACCTAACTATTAGGAAGTCAGCGATCTAGATACCGTTCTGAGATCCTCTAGGTTTTATTAAACATCAGTGACATATGGTCTTTTGAGTTAAACACAATAGGGAATCATGTTACTCAAGTTGCTCAAACAACTTTGTTGTGAAAAAATACCGGACCTGAGATCAAACATCTGAGAATCAACAGAACTACTTGGAATGTATTACAACAATCTCATAATTAAAAAAGAAACATTCTTTCTTAGAATTAATAGCAATAACTCGAAAACTTTTCGAAAAAAGTGGTATAAACCCCATATCAATTAAAAGTTTCCAAGGAAAGTTATTTAGTGATGTAGAAATATACAGGATATTCATCCATCTAAAATCTATAATAAAACGTACATTTTGCGTTTAGGAACGCAAAGATATTTCAGCACTTCTTTCATATCAGTTTAAAATCGATGTTGATCAAATTTTTGCAAACTAAAATTGATCCCATATGTTATATGATTTCAAAGCTCTTGTTTTAGGTCTATCCCAATACCTAATGTTATGGAATATACTCTATATAGTAAAATAATTTTAAAGTATGCGCTAGTATCACGCAGATATTCTTTGCAATCGTAAAATGATAATAAAAAGAAGCATGTTGGTCCAAAAAGAACGGACGGATGATTATTTATGAAGAAGCTTCAAATTGATTTTCTAATGTTGGAAGTATTTATGATAAACGGAAAAATATTTACTTTTGCTGCTGCGATATAATCAACAGACTGCATTTTTAATGTGAGCACCAGCCAAATACAACCTTCACTAAATCACAAGAATTTCGGTATATTTGTCAAGGAAAAAACAAGAGCACTTGAGCATTTAAATTTTTTTTTCCAAATAAGGAGTTAACTACAATTTTTATAACTAACTTCTCTGGGTTTTAAAAATATCGGAACTACCGATCTATTACACTTGAAAAACTCACCGTGTAGTAGAAACATCCTAGCTGAGGAGCCTTCATAAACGTAAGGTTTGATTGCAATATTTCAACAGTGTTTACATTGAAAATGGAATGGATTGAGCAGCAGCAAATAGAGCATGGCAAAAGTGAATATTTTTCTGTTTATTGTAACTACTTCTATCAATAAGAATTTATTTTAAAACTTTTTCATAAATAAATAGTCATCAATGTATTGTTATTTCTTTTTGAACAAACATATCACTTTGACTATTGGTTCACACAAACTACACCAGATCATATCGGAATAGTATACTTTTTTCGATTGCAAATAATATCTGCGGCCGCTGGCAGGGTACGTGGCAACACCGGATGCATTAAAACTAAATCACTAAAACCTCTTTCATCGTTGTACTGGTTGTACATTTGACTTTCTCCGCCGAAATGGCGGCCGTTTTTGGCAGTGGCAGGAGAGTTTCATAGCTGATTTTGATCTAAGTTGTGCTCGTATCATATCAAGGTTGCCATGAAAACAGATTTTTGATATCTTTTTCAGTTTGCCCAAAAAACTAATTTCCACTTTCGTTGACACGCCCTGTATATACTACTGCGAATACGTACACAAGAATTTTTTTTATTTTCTTCAGAGGTATGCCTTGAGACGTATTCCAGCTGTGTCGCCATCACAATTTTTGCAATATTGGCCATCCTAGGCCAAGGCCTAATGGGTTCTATGGCAAATTCGCCTCCATATGCCTTTAAGTTGAATTTCACAATAAAAAATTTCCATTTTCGTTCCCCCTGTTTAGAAGAGAACGAAATTTAGTGTTCTGAACCAATTCGAGACCATGATTTCGAATATGGCCATCTAAAAACCCTAAAGTGTCGTGTAGCTCTATTTGCAGAAGGAAGATTGACTTTTTGGAACCTTCCATTAATCTCAGCGAAAAACTGACATCATACTTCTAGTCGGTTCTTCCACATTTTCGAATGTCGCCACCAAAACATCCTAAAATGTCCTGAACCTCCTTTTGGTTTTATTTATACCGAATCAGCTGCAAACAACAACCACGATAAATAAATATAAAGTGAGTAAACAAAAATAGTCATTGTAGTTTATTTCAACAAAATATATGGGCTATTTACAAGAACTTACACAATGTATAAACACATTACAGAAAAGTGCATCTTCATAAAAACATTTAAAAATCAAATCATTTCAAATTTGAAATAATTTTATTTATTGCATGCATTGGCAAGACTAGAAATAATACAAACTTTTAAAAAAATAGACAAGCTCTCTGACCTACACATCAGAAAAAGCTTTGAAAGCTCCCGTCGCAAGAGTTTTTTGAAAAACTCTACTGTCTATACAGTTTAGGCAAAACTGTAATTTTTCTTTCTATTTCAAATAAATGTTCAACGTGATTTCTTAGCTTTTGAAAGTTAAATCTTGCAATAATACTTATTTACTAGATGAATTCATTCCATTAGAACTTATCAATGAATAGTGATGCAATTATGATGATCAATTAATTATTGACAGTGTGAAGATCACTTGGAAAAGCATTATCACTTCTGGTAGTCTTTGGAGCATTAAAAGTATACATTTGAAAAATATGCTGCAGATGATGCAGTTTCCAGATGATTATCAAAATATAGCTAAGATGTACCGAGATACCTACTCCTCAAGCTGTCCTTTTATTTAAGGTAGAATAGTGCAAGCTAAACTGCGCCCAACAAAGACCTCATTATTAATTAGAGGGTTTTTACCACAACAAAAGTAACTAATCGTTAACCGCCCGTTACGTTATTTTTGACAGCGGTAGCAAATAATGAATGACGGAGAAAGGCCGTACTGACTACTGACAATCATAGCATGTTACTTTTTTTTATTTTGATGTGAAGCTAACCACAACATTTCAAGCTCCTGTAAAAATTTTTGATGGAAACGTTCTGGTAATAAATGTGTTAAGATTGCTCCAAGCCGGTTAAGAAATGGATACGTCTAGAATCATAGCCTTAGAACGAAAAAATCCACAAAAGCAGCAGAACTCAAATAAAAAGACACTTAATTTAATTTAATTCATTTAGAACATGACTATTTCTGACACCTATTTTTGTTATTTAAAATTCAGATTTATATTATATTTTAATCAATACGCTTTGATAACATGAAATTAACTTTCCCAGCTTTACGAATACCAGCAATGGCGCTGTATCATGAAATAAATGAAGAAATAAGCTCTCTCCTATTCTCCGTATCTAACGGTGCTTCTTATTTAGAATACGGATATTTTCTTGGAACTGCGAGATCTAAATAACGATCATAATTGAGAAGCAGACCAAGAGCACTAAAAACTCTCCTTCATTATCATCTGATTCATATCAAAAATCCGCTTTATTTTGATGGTAGACTTGGAATAGTTGCAAGGTACCTTTGTTATTCTACAAAAAAGTTCAAAATGATCACCTGCAGCTATCATGCAAAAACCAATATTCTCAAGCATCTATCTAATTTCTTATGTTTGACATCTCTGATTTAGTACAAACTTAGATTGTAAGCCCAGTGGAGCAAGAAAGTCTTAATTTCAGCAGTATGAATGTTTCTAAAAGGCATTAAATTTAGTTTTTTTGATAAAATGTTTATGGTACATATATTCCCAAAATTAAGTGACTTTTAAGAAATCATAATATACAATCCGTTGGACCTTCTCTATAGATTTGAGAAACGCCTTATTATGGAGCCTCTGAACAGGCAATATTTTTTTAAAATATTTGGACAAAGCGTATTTATATAAAGAGAAAACAGTTGGACAAAGAGAATAAAATTAGAGAATCAGATAAGAGATGACTTCAAGAACCTGGCGACCAAAAACAGCTGATGGCGTCTAAACACGGCTATTCTCTATTCTCATTTATTGAGAAATAAATGCGGTGTTGCCAGATGTATAATCCTTATTGGATGAATTCTTTGACTATCACTTGTACTGAATGCATTTTTGTACACATTTATACTTTTGTTTGGATATTTACTCATGGTGGGGATATTTATCATCCATGTCCAACCTGCGAAATATATTTTTTATTTGATAAAGTTATAAAGCACGCTTTTCGAGAAGCAAGCTATTCTGAAAACCTGTAAGTTGTCAAATAGCTATTTGACTTTTAGGACACTAAGCGGTATACTACACGACTTAGTTTAGTAATCAAAGAAATCCATCGGTTTGAAATTCGAAAGTTTATACCTTAAGACGATATGTTTATTTATTCAGTATGGATTTTTAACTACAAAAAGTCATTTATGAGAGAATCGACAAGACAAGAACGGTCCGCACACAGATCGCTGATCGCAGAGTTTTGATTACATCGCGTACTGATATGAAATGTTAAAAGCTAGTCAAAGCAGCAAGCTTCCCGAGTTTGCTGTTTAGCATCAAAATATGTAAGATGTGACTAGTTTTTTATTGTATCATACCACTATGCGATGATGTAACAAAAAAATTGCGATCAGCTTCCCTACTACAAGGCATTCCACGACGTATCTTTTCTTGATATAACTACTCTTTGATCTAGCTATAACTATAACATATTATAGCTTCATGAATACCTGTATATTGCACCATATGACCATATATACCTCTAATATGCCAGCTACATCGTGGCCATATTGCTTGCAAGGTGTAGACATATACACTTCCCAGAATTTTTCATCAGAGATGGGTTTCAAAATGTATACGGCTCACGACAGCTTATATTACATTACATTAAGTTAGATTCTGATATTTCGGCAATCTGACAGAAATAAATGAAAATAGTTCAGAAATGTCAAATATGTGTAGTAATGCATGGTTTTTGGCAGTTAAGTCACTAATGCCATATAAAATAGGTGAACAAATTGACTATTGGTACTATGTGCGTATCTTAATTTCCATAAGGGAAATTGCAAGCTGCGCAAGCTGATCCGTAACGAAGCTGATACTCGCTCTTGCACATCTAAACACATTAGTTGGATGATAGAGGACAGTTGTTTTCACTAACTTTCTGTAAATACTTTTAATATAGACTGTTGACATTGTAGTTGTTTCTTCAGGCACTACTATGTTATGTATCGAAAATCAAACGGGTAAACCCAAATCACATACCCATAAGAGAACATTTTCATGGCGGTGAGACAAAACTAGTGTTGTCCTTGAGTTTTCACAAGCAAATATTTGCAGTTTTACGCCAAAAACCGGGAAAGGACCAGTAGCCGGGCCATACTAAAAATATGTTAGTAGGTTGCTGCTATTAAAGCTAAATAGGGCAGTAAACATATTGCCCATTCAGAGGCTTCATTATAATATGAAATTGTATAGTATTCAAAATTAATCCAGCATCTTTTGTGAATATTCCGTTCCATTGTGGGTCAAATATGAAGTGCATGTATTCTCCTTCTATGAGTATGGCAAGATAGAACACAAACACTGATGGTAACATAGTACATCACGGAATAATAAATACAGCCTTAATCGACTATAACAGTTGACAATAAATATTAAAAAATAACAACAAAATTTCTTCTATTCATGTAACAAGAACCGACCGAGAGCTTCAGGTCATTGAGAATGGGGATTCACGGTTTGTCGTCAGAAAGTGGTTTCCTCTGGCCCTAGAACAGAAAAGAATGTATATCAGAAGCAGGTCAAAGATTACGATATGGATGGAAGCTTTCCACAAAAATATAGTGCTTTCCATAGAGGTCAACCACTCCACATATTTTGAACGGGTCAAGTCAGAAGCTTGAACTCAGGGTGATTGAATGAATACTATATTTAAGCATGAAGATGACAGCTAAAAATTTCAAGATATCTTCTTATACAGGGGTCCCAATATTCCATGGACATAGAGGTACCATGTATTCTTAGACAAAGTAAGTTGTATTCCATGGACATAGAGGTACCACGTATTTATAAATAAAATAAGTTTATTGGACATGATATACAGTAATGGACAAAAGTATATAGACAAATTAATATTGTACTGTATTTCTTTTTTAACTTGTTTTATTAATACACCAACCTGTATACATAATTCGTTATAGCATAATACTCACTTATACATAAATAAATTCACTAGACTCCCTTCAACAAAAAATTAACTCAAAAACACTGGAACTATGAAGGACAAAAATATATAGACAAAGCAAAACAATTATAGAAAAAAGAAGCAAAGTTCATTGAATTATAGAAAACCAACCACGTTTGTGTTAATATTTTGAAGCATAACCATTATTATCAATCACCGCCTGGCATCGTCTCGGCATAGATTGTAGAAGTTTCTTGGTATAAGATTCATCAATTTGTCTCCACTTTTGCTCTAAAGCGGCAAAAAGTTCATCCTTGTTTGAATAATTTTTACCTCGTCTTTGCTTATCTAAGTATTCCCGTAGATTTTTAGTGGGGTTTATATCGGGAGACTGTGAAGGATATTTGAGAACTGGTATTTTTTCATCCAGAAAGAATTTCTTTGCGAGATTTGAAGTGTGCTTCGGGTCATTATCTTGCTGGAAGATTGATCTTAAGGGCATATTGTCTTCCATATAGGGTAACATGACATGCTGTGTATACAAACTTATCCATAATGCTTTCTATCCTATGTAAACGTCCCATCCCAAACCCCGAAAAGCACCACCAAACCATAACAGACCCGCCTCCATGTTTGACAGTGAGCAAAGTGTACTTGGGGTTCAATCTTTGTCTACTAGGACGTCTAACGTAATGAAAACTATCCGATCCAAACATATTGAACTTGGATTCGTCACTGAAACATACCCTCTTCCAGTCACACATGCTCCAATCAAGATGCAACCGTGCCCATAGTAATAGGTCCTTACGGTTTTTCCTTGAGATTAGCAGCTTCATACTCGGGCGACGTGCAAATAACTTCAAATCATTTGAATCTTCTACTTGTAGTTTTCGTAGAAACACTGACAATTCCTTTTGTCTCGATTTCGGCATTTATTTGTCTTGGGGGTTTTAAACAGATCTTTGGACGAAATTACTTTTATTAATCTAACTGATCTAGCATTTAGTTTTCTAGGCCGACCACTTCTCTTAGAGGCTTCCAAGATACCTTTTTGTTTATATTTGTTCGGTATTGCCCAAGCTGCTTTACGCTTCAGCTTCAAATTTTTGGCAATGTCGACTTGACGTTGACCATTTTTGTATAACTCGATGATCTTAGTTTTCACATCGAAAGAAATTTCTGGACCACGCGGCATGGTCATAAGATCACTCAACTTATTCCACAATACTTGATGACCAAAAACTAATCCTCTTCTGACACGAAACTGTACTAAACTAATGTTGAGAAGAATTTGTCTACATACTTTTGTCCCTCATAAAAAAGTGCTTATATTCAGACTTGTATTGTGTTCATTGCAGATAATGTAAAAACAAGGAATTTAGTTTTTCTACTATTAACGGATTTGCTTATGGAGTAATGAAGTATGAATTCGTTTTCTGTATACTTTTGTCCATTACTGTTTATTTCAATGCAAAAGTGTTTAGTTTGTCCGTTAGAGGGCATCTTCTTTTTAAAACCCATTTTTTCAGATACTTTTCAAACCAATGTGTTTTGCTAGACGTCTTAATATTTGACTCTTACAAAAAACCCGAAAGGGAAGTTCCCCCACCTCTACATAAATAATTATAGCAGACGACGCTGATTTTTTTTTATCTAAAAGAAGCTTTCTTATTACGACCTTCTCGAACCCTTTCGAGTCTTCGGTAAAAGTCAAATATTAGGACGTTTATCAGAACTTTTGTGTTCCAAATTTCATTCAAATCGGACTATCGGTTCTTAAAAATATTTTGGAAATGTGTCTTAAAAAGAGAACATTGACGCCCTCTAACTGACAAGCGATGCTCTTTTGCATAAAGGTAAATCATGTCCAATCGACTTAGAGTCTAAAAATACGTGGTACTTTTATGTACACGGTATATTGGAACACCCTGTATTCTCAAATAGTAAAGGATGTGATGCAATGTGATTGTTGACTAAATCGCTAATAACTCAACAACCAGCAACAAAAACGCTATAGTGTTAAATCAATGTTCTTCGTGTCAAAGGGTGTATCAGAATACGGAATAAGTATGGAACGTTCCATTAAAAAATGCCGAAAACCAGGTATTTCGGACGGAATGTTTGTTACAGTTCAGATAAATTGTTCCAAAACAGAACGATTGATATAAAGGTGCGTATACATATGCGAGCCGAGCGGTTCGCGAGCCGCTTGTGAGCAACTTGTTCGGCTAATTGGGACGGGGTTTATGGTTCCAAACGAACTGCTTGTGAGCAGCTCGTGAGCCGCTCGCGATGAGCCGCGGCCTGTCGGTTTTTTCGACGAACACAAAGGAATTCGCAGTGCATATTGGGACGTGTTTAGACAAGGTTCGTTGTTTTTCTTTAGCTCGCGAGCGAACTTTATTTTTCTTCAATAAAGTTATGGATTCATGGTCGGAAGAAAAAATATTATGTCTGATAAACGTTTATAAAATCAAAACGTTATTATGGGATCCTAAAAATGAAAATCACTTCAAAAAAAATTTGAAAGAGGACGCTTGGCGGGAAATTGCGGATGAAATGGAAACCACTGCTGAACAGTGCAAAAAGAAAATAATAAGCCTCTTAGCTTCTTTCCGCCGGGAGAAAAATAAAACAAAGCAGGGGACTAGACTATTTTTTTTATTTACATCAGCCATTACTAAAACTGCAGCACTCATCACTAAAATAGTATAATTTTCGTTTCGCGAAGCCATACTGCATTTGGCGACTGCGATGTTTGTTTGCGTCTAGTGCGCTGAATCTGTGGATCGCTGGAGGTTCGCGGAAAAAATCATTTCAACGAACCACCATCGAGCGGCTCGCGAACCGCTCGGCTCGCATATGTATACGCACCTTTACATACGTCTTTTAAACGATTCACTGCGGAGTTATAGGTTATGAAAAGCACTGTGTTTGTTTCATATCTGATATTAGGGTTGTTGGTCCTATATTTTAGTAGTAATACTATCTCGTCTCTAAGTGATATGACATTATTATGATTAAATTTTGGGATTGTAAGCTCATTGTGGAGTATATTAGAGAGTGTATACTGGAATCAGAAAGTACAAAAGACGTACGTCAAAACCGCATTGATCGTTACAGGCACGCGGGAGCAGGACACGGGTAGTGGAGATAAGTAGCTTGATGCTCGGAAACTTATTCGCCATGGAAAGTTTAACCGGTGAGCAGAGTGCGTTCTGTTTTAAAGCTTATTACAAAAATGGAGATTCGTGAACTACTGCGCTGCGTCTTTTTAGCGGTTAGTTTAGATTACATGATCTAAATCAATGTCCTAGTGAAGGTATGATCCAGTCATGGGTCAGATAGTTCAAGTCTACCGGTTCGACAGTGAATCAGGAACCTGCGAGGAGCCGTCCAAGATCAATACGAACACAGGAAACTGTAAGCGAAGTTGCGACGTCCGTCCGGCGCGATCCACAGTTATCATCCCGAAAGAGATCAGCTGAGCTCGCCATATCAAGAACATCTGTGAGGCGTATTTTGGAAAAATACCTTAGATGTTAGAGCGCTTTCCAACATTGAACAATATTCTCTTTTCTGATGAAGCTCATTCTCTGGGTGGATTTGTTAACAAGCAAAATTACGGGTATTGGGCCGCAGAAAATCCCAAATTAAAACACCATCGACTTTTGCATTCGCGTTATATTACAGTTTGGGCGGCCATATCGGCTGAAGGAATCATAAGACCCTATTTCTACGAAAACGACCAAGGCAAGACGTAATTTTTTCTTTCCATAACTGTATAATTTTGAAGCCTACCATAGCAGGATCTAGTTTCAGCCAGAAGGCGCGATATCCCTTACCGCCAACGAGTTTTTAGCAGTTGTATACGAAATGTTTAGCGGAAAACGGATATCGCGACGAGGGGAAATTCCGTAGGACCCCAGAACTCACGCCAATAGATTTTTTCCCTGGGTATACCTCAAGAGCCGCATTTACGCCAATAAACCGACAATGAGATCAAGCACATTTCCGAGGAGATGTCCGCTACCTTACGAGCGATGTGCCAGCGAGTTTTCACGAATTTGGAGTCGAAATTCGAGGAGTGCGTACGTCTCGATGGCTCACATCTCAATGATGTTATTTTAAAAAAATAAAATTTCCATGTGTCTACTTTATTAAAAATATAAATTATCTTCCCTATGCTTTGTAATTTTGTTTTCTAAAATCCGGTCAACTTAATGGCCCACCCTGTATAAAATGGGCAGTACCACTGACCAACGTATTCTAGTACTCAGGAGCATCCTGGACTTTGCAGAGATTGTTAGTCTAAGGCACTAGCCTAGCTAGAGGTGCAAAATGCCCCACTAAGTGACCTATTCATGCACTCATAGCCTTGACACTTCGGAAAGCATTCACCCCATATCAATGGTATACACATGCGATTTCACAAAGGTATTCATCTCGGTAATAAAAATATCTGTGTACACGCATGACTAATTACTAAGGAACGATATTATCGTCCTATCAAGTAACATGACAAATTGGTTCTCTGCACCGCGCTGAGTACCAATCAGCACAGTCGAGTAGTACCATATGAACCTTGACCCATTAAACAATTGGTAAAAGGACACTTTTACTTCAGATCACACCCTGGAAATTGCGTTCGGTATTAAACTAGTACAAAGTGTTATTGACATTATTAAATCGTTTGGCAATAACCTAATAGGTACACCATGAATAGGTAGATATAAAGTTTGGTGTGCACTGAAAATAGACAAAATAGAGCAATCACTTTACTATTTGATTGACCTGAGTATGGGTTATACGCTGCCATAAAGCTTTATCGGCAAATTAAGTAAGTAGCTACCCTCAATCATCCAATCAAGCCCCAGTTTCATAACAATGGATAAGTATACAAAATTATACCATTATTTCTGCTTGGACAGTATAAATTTTGGATCATAGTAGCCAGAGAAATATTAACACTTCAACCAAAACCTGTAATCAATATCGTCCTTTCAAGCTTCAGTGTTTCTGCTTGCGAAACATTTAGTAGCGAGCTGCTAAGAATGATGTCCAGAAAAAAGTGCTACTGAACTCTAAACTCACATTAAGGGCTGTATCGTCAGTCGTTCCTACAATATTGCAGGACGCCTTTACGGCCTCCTTCTTTTTTGGTTTTCATAGTCTCTCCTTTAGAACGATGCCCTATTTTGATGGAAGTGTCCTGCCATAAGTTAGCTAAGGATGCTTTTGTGTTGATAAAATAAATTGTTTATCTTCGTTTTTCACTTGTATGTTGGAAAAAAATATTTTAAATTCGTAATCGGTATTTCCGGCTGATGACATTAATCAGCAGGAAGTGATTTTTATTCTGACTAAGAACCGAAAGTGACTATATATTTAATGTCAAACCGTCAATCTCATACAATAAAAGTTATTATATTACTTTTTAAGCTTTGAAATAAATATTTCCATTTCTCGGTCATAGAAATAAGTGAAAATACTTTTTGGAGACAAAAATACAGACGTTTCGTCAAAATAAAAATTATGGAAGATACTCGTATTACTTACTCTTTGGCAACATAGAAGCCCATCCGCGTACTGGGCATTGTTTGTACTGTACAAACTCCTTTTTGGTAGCCTTCCCAGTTTTTACATTGCACTGCACCTTGGAAGGCATTTGGATTGACAGCGGACTCCGCGTAGAATTGGTACGACCTCCAGTGGCTACAAAAGACTAAAAAAATAATATAAGTATTGGTTGCAAACCTACAAAGCTCTCGAAAATTACTTCGCCCTGAGTACTTGTTCATAAAATATACTTTACAGCTCGATGACAAATAATAGTACCTTACATTTATTTATTGAGGAGTACGCTATTAAAAGTACTTCGAGAGATTTTATATATTGAGCCGCATAGCACCGAGGGATATAATGTGCTCGGCTTTCTTCTTCGAGATACGTATTTAACTTGATTAGGTTTTAAAATATAGCATAGCTGAGAATTTTCTTAACATCCGGCAACACTGCCAGAATACAGCTGAAGCAACGTCTACATCCCAGAACGGTGCGTAAGAGAAGGACGCTGCCGCTACGCGATTCATTTGATACCATCCAGTCGTAGATAGTACTTACATGGCTCCAGAATAGAATCAGGACTCCTATGTTTGACTTCAGGGATGGTACAGCCAGGTTGAGGCGAAATTCCTCCGTTAGGCCAGAAGTCCACGTGACCAATGGAACGTGGGTATCCGAATATTCCAGCATCCGTATGGATCACGTCCACGAATTCAGCATCACTAGAGTCGAGTTTCAAGCTTTTAGGCCACTTGGTGAACAAAGGTCCTGCCGGGTCAAGTCCTACAACATTTTTTTTATCGATACCACTTCATAATATATGGTCAATTCGTAAGAAATGGGTTTTATACTTTCAAAAATGGTGAAGGCGCAACATACAGTGATTCAAAAAGGGTATAGACCGCCTACGTAATTATTTTTTGAATGGATTGGTTTAGCAACCTAAAATTGGAGAACATGAAATAATTGCATGAGGGCTTTTTTAACGTAACAATAACAGTTAAAAATTTCGATATCGCGTTGGGCGCAATCTTCGAATATTTTCTTTAATAGAAAGATGGGCTATGTGACATACAGTTTTAAAGCTTTTTATCAGTACTTTATAACCCTAGAATATGAATCTACTATATTTCAGAATTAGAACTGACATGCTGTTAAAACTGAACTTCACATTTTACACTGCATTTCGGATATGTAACAATTGGGTGAGGTCCCTTACAGATTTTGATGAACACTACCCACTGCCTCGCTACTTACCTTTTTAATGGGCTGAATAGATGGGGGTTGAATTTTTTTAAAGGAAAGGGTACTTTATAACTCTAGAATATGAGATCATATCCTTTCAAGGTAGCAGACCGACAGACAGTCAAAGTTGAGCGTTTTTGTAATGATAAACTTATGTATATCGTTACGTGGGGAATACCAGCCTATAATTTTTATGATGTAATTTAGTTATATGTCTTATATGAGGACGATGGTATAAAGCGAAATTATTAGATGCATGAAAGTTGTTGATGTGCCGATCTTATCTAACCTTAACCTAACTTAAACAGTAACTACCGTTTGTTGTGTGGCTAATTTGTAGTTTGATAACTTATGTGGTTAGTAAAATAATGTAATAAGTAACTCAAACTGAATGACCCCTAAAGTGCTGGACCTTCACTACATCTGCCTGCTTTTAATATTCTAATAAGTCCTTTAGTTTTCTACATTTTATTTTTAACTTACCAGTTATCCTCCTGATTCTACCACTCTTCACATTCTGTCCACATACTCCAGCCATCTGAGCTCCCAGACTAAGTCCGATCAAATGTAAGCTAGGTAGGTACAGACCTCTTGAAACGAGGTAGTCGATGAATTTCGCTGTATATTGGCCCACGACTTCGGTGTTTCTGGCAGCAGTTAAGTACCAAGGACCTGCCTCGAGACGTTGGGCATTCATCAGCAAGATATTGTGGTCACCTCTTTGCAGATATGCTGAAAATTTTGCAAGCAGGTTAACATAAAATTGAATCTGGTTGAATAACCGAATGCTTTCCGTGTTTATTCGTTAGTGGATTTCAGGCTGTAAGGATCATTTTTGAATTTAGCCGCTCTCTCTCTCCTTCAACATAAGGGTGTCTATATATTGTATATTGGCAACCACGCACTTGTTGGAAAAAAAGTTTCTAAGAAATGATAGTAAGAAAGCAACCTCAAATATGACCTAGGCAGTGATTTTAGAGGTCATTAGAGGTCAATTTTTCACATTCATATAGCAACCGCCATTTTTGATAGATTCGTCATAAGTGGTTTAATCGGTATGGTTGCTATTTGAATTTACAAACTTCACCTCCAAATGATGATCTCTGAGACTATTCTCGGCCATATTTTAGGTCATCCATAAATTACTTTTCAGATATCCTAAAACCTTTCCTAATACATTTTTAAAAAAATGCGTGGTTGCCAAGTTTTCTGGGTGTTTGCGTACATTTCGGACGTTACAGTACGTCATACTGATTGAACACTTTTGACAGCTTGACCTCATGTACGAAAACACACTCTGGTGTACAATCTTGATCTCGCACGAATATTAAGAGATGGTGAATGCCATATGAATTTACAAACTTGATCTCTAAATAATCGTTGTCTAGGTCATATTTGAGGTCATCGGCAAATCGCCTTTTTGATATTCTGACGCATTTATTGTAGCTCTTTTTTTATAAAAAATGAGTGGTTACCCAAGTTTTCGGGATGCTTAACAGTATAGAATACTTTGTTACTGATTTGGCACACTGCATTGTTACAGTATATTACAAAAACTACATTGAAATGATACATGTTTGTGGAGAATTCTTTTGAGCTCATACTGGATTGATTTGTTTAACTGATTCTAGGTTTTTCGAGTATAATCAGCACCACCCCGGAGCTCATCATTTGAATGTTCCAACTAATAAATTTTATACCTCAAATTTGGTCCCAAGACACAACTATTTTGTTGAATCAGTACCAACGAAAAACGAAAATGGTTTTCCCTATTAATATTTTGAAGATTTTTAAAAACCTAACCGTGTCAGTGACTCGGTCTCTGCGTTAGTCGGATGCGTAGATTCCGAATGCGACATCAATTTCACTTGAAAACTGAAGCGGGTTCCTAAGAGGTCTGTAAATTAAGTGGTGAGGCCTTTTTTATTGTATTTATACAAATACAATCACAATTTTTTATTGTCACCCTCAGAATAACTTCCTTCCGATTTAAAAAAAAATAACTTCCACGATTATTCAATCAATTGACGATTTGAATGCACAAGATCCCGGATTATGTCGATACTTTCCCCTTTTCGGGAAGATAAAGGCTTTCAGATTCGTGGCTGGACTCTAATCGACTCTCTCCCTTGAAAATGCGTTAATCTGTTTTACCAAAAAAAAATCGCTACCGACAACCAAATAACTCGAGTGAGTTCAAACTTGTACTGAAGGCGGATCACTTGCTCCCCTGTCTTACCTCTAAGAAAAAAGTTTTCTTCTTAATTATTTAGAGGCAAGCAATATTGCGAATCTCATCTGTAAAGGGACCTCATGAACTATCCTGGAAGGCTATCAAATTCATGCACCTATACTTGTATTGTTCAATATTATTTTGACAAAGATAAAAGTCAAACGTCACCGAATCAGGACCTGCAAAACCCTAATCACTTCTGCGGAGACGTCATCATATTCGGATAGTGTCGTCACATTTTGTAGATGTGTATGAGGTCATTAAAAACAACGCAAAACATAGATACAAGCGACATCACCTAACGCCTACCATCCGCCATCTACAACCTCGGTAAATGATTGAATGAAACATGAAATTAGAGGCATATCTACCGGCCTCCATAAGGAGCCATCGCATAGGCCACTTAGACGGACCCTTGTGCAACTCTACATTCCGTACATTCTAGCGAAGTTGAGTAAGGCCTTGAGTCCAAGCTCCTTAACGGCCTGGGGGTCCAAAGTGATGGACCCCAGTATAGTCTGCCTGTAGTTAGTAGCTAAGAGCTTCACAGCGTTGCAGAACGTGCGCCGAGGTCTCTTCCTCTACCACGCAGCGCTCACACAAGCGATCCTCAGCCACCCCCATCACGTGCAGGTGGCGCCTTGACTTTTTATGCCCAGACAACAGTCCCACCAGCATCCTTAGGTTGGCTCTTTCCAAAGATAAGCAGAAACGTCCAACCTTAGCGCTGGGCCCTACAAGGGGTTCCCGTGCCTGGCGGAGATGTCTGCAGATGCTACTCCATTGTTGTCTTGCAATCCACTTCCACCAGCACTCAATGGTGTCGTCCGCACTGCGCTTGTAATGTTGATACAGGCCAAACGCTGAGTTTTATTGAGTTTGGTCTTAGTTGTCTCAGAGCCAGCCAACCACTTTGGGTTTAAGCCCCCACCTTATACCGACAACGCGTCTACAAGCACACAATGAACTGCGAGCTTTGTTAACCTCGAATTCAACGTGCTCTCTACAGTTCAGTTTGCATTCCAGGATAATTCCTAGATATTTTACTGATTGGGATAGAACTGATCTAGTCCCAAAAAAGGTCAGCAAGACAAGCCCGTCAAGCTTTCTTCTCCTAGTGAATAGGATCAGAGTTGACAGAAAGATCGACTTCCCTACACCACGATTCCACAGTGCGCAGAGCGCCCTGCATAATCTCAGAGACTGTTCTACAAAAACGTCCTCTAACTACTATGCTTAAGACATCAGCATAGGCTTGAACGTAGACGCCCGGATTGCTGAGCATAATGAGGAGTTTATTCACCAAGAGGTACCACAGTAAGGGTGAAGTCAGCCCTGCAAGCAGATTCGAGCTACGCTGACGCCGCAGCTTAGCTCACTCAGCATAGCTGTTTCTACCCGACCCTCCAGAGAGGATAGGATCCAATCTACTAGGATTGATCTAACTCCGTGCCTAACCAAGGCATATCTGATACAGTCGGTTGTAGTGCAACTCAATGCACCTTCAATATCCAAAAAGGCCACGAATGCCACTTCTCGCTGATCTAGAGTCTTCTCCAGCCTGCCGACCAGATTGTGTAAGGCCAGATCAGTCGATTTCCCAGCTTGGTATGCAAACTAATTGGAATGAATGACAAACCTCTCCAGCGGACCATCTCTAAAAAATCTGTCCTACCCTTTCCGATGACTTAAGCACAAAAGATGAAATGGTAATCGGAAGAAAATCCTTCGGGCCAGTATACACAACCTCGGCGAAGTGTTTTTTGTATTGTAATAGATTTCTTTCCTAATGGGTAATAGATTTACAGCTATTCGTAATAGATATTACCCAGGAAATCATAACAGATTTATCGGGAATTGTAATAAAATTCTATATTTTGAGGTATATTTTTAATACAACAGAAAAGATGTCGCTTATATTGATGATGCTCAATCTGCAGTTATCCATCTGTGCGCTATTTTAGTCGTATTGACCAATCAACGAAGGGATAGAGGGGCACATCACCAGTCGAGTTGAGGTTATCGGCCTTGCTTATGTTGTCAACTTAGTACCAAATAATATTTGCATTCGCCTGTATTATTTTCTATAAATGTTTTGGATTTTTTATAGCTTGCATTATTCCTCATAACTCTTTAAGCGCCCTGGAGTGAATTTATTTAATTAAATGATTCGTTGTGCATTTTCCTCACGAATTACAATTTTGAATTTACTGCTTAGAGGCTTCTCATTTAGTTGTTGATCATCTGGGTGCCTCCTAAGATTTGGCATGTTATGTTTTTTCGAGATTGTAACTTTTTACAATAAAATAACTCAAGAAGTGACACTGAAAATAGCTCTACAAACTACATACAGAGATAAAAAAAATTATCAAAAAATCGGCCAGAGCGTTTCGCATTTGAAGTGAAGTACGGCTCATCAAAAAAAAATGAACTGAACCATCTTGAGTACAGTACTTATTATACACATGGCACTAGCATCGGCAGAAAAATAATATTTTACTATTGTTCCATAGATGGCGGCAGCAGCTATCATTGAAAAATCGTGTACATAGTAATAAGTTTTCTAATAGTAATAGATCTATTACGACTGCAATAGATGGAACGACACTACCATGGAGTACAACCGTCGCCTAACTCCTGAATACACATGATATAATACAATTTTGCGAATATTATTGTCTTAAACAACCTGAAAAAGAGCTAGAACCTAGTATTTCGGACAGCTTCTAAGCCAAAATTGCCGTGAACATGTCAGAAATGACTCTGACGAAATACTTAAAATTAATACGTACTAATGCTTTCATTACCAAATCAGATACAGAAAAACCTAATGGCACCTGCATTGAAATACAGCTCTTAATTGATTAAATTGATAAAATACTGTATAGCCTTTCAAAATTTTGCGCAACGAACAGTAGAATGTCTGCAACATAAACACTACTGGCAGCCTGTCGACTTATCAAATTTGCATTTCAGCATTCACCGTATACCACGCAGTTCAAGCTCGGTCAATGTCGTTCTGGTGTGTAGCTTTCTCTCTAATAGATAGGGAACTGGCGCTTTATAGTTGAGCGAAGTATAACCTGCTAGAGCAGCGGTCGGCAGCCTTAGAGAGCTAAGCGCCACAAGTTGGCAAAGCATAGTAAATTTTTAGTTATAAGAAATGAGGATCATTGAGAAGAAAATAAATATAACTAATGAAGTATTTAAACTGTAAACTATTTGTTGTATTTTAGTTCTCATATTCGTAGTTGCAGTTCGTAGTATGGTTCTCAAATGCTCATATGTGAGACGAAGGGCATATTTATTTCTTCTGTAATTGAGAACTGAAAAAGTTTGTTAGCACAGATACTACTTACTATAAGTTGTCACTAACTGCTGAGCAAACTTTTTCAGTTGGTTGAAACTTAACGACAGACTGTCATAAAATTTTACAAGGTCGTTGATTTCGTAAAACGAAGCTTTTGAGGCTATCAGTAGATTGGAGATTAATCACATC